AATGGTCTGAAACAAACATCACAGGAAATAACAGTTTTCAATGGTGTTTTTTGACTTCATCGCAAGTATATTGGACAGATATTGAATCTTGTGTTGAGTTTTTATCTAAAGAAATGCCAGACATTAAAATAGACGACAATTGTCTCTTTGAAGAAATTAGAAGACTGAATGTATTTTTAAATTCTGAAAAATTAATACAGTGGGAAAATAAACACGTTGAAATTGATAAAAGGGTGGAAATATTCAGCCATTTCAAAAATGAACATATTCCATGTGAAAATTTATTTATTCTTGTTCAATTTACGTTGTCAATTCAATATGAAGGATATTTCTTGTTCAGATATTTCCAATATATTGTTAGAAGATGATACATTGACAAAAAATATTCATTCAATGGAAAAGTACTCATTTAAACAATAATTAATAGGCATGTAAGCATAATTACAATATAAAATGTTATTGTTACAAATGTTTTTTATTATGCATTTATCATATTATAGTGTATTCTGTATTATTGTTGCAATGAATAAAATGTTTCTTTCATTTACGATATTTTTTTTCTTCAATTTATTTGTGTCCTCCTTCTCATTGTAAAAAAGTTGGTCACTATTGGACTCAGCTGGTGGGACTGTGTTACACTGACTGTGGGTGGCTGTTTTTTGGGAAAAGTGGGGTAGAGGTTTACCAACACCCCTGGCGGGCTGTCTGTCGTTGTTTAGCAGTGCAATAAAAGACTGCCTACATGACCTGGGTCAGAACAAAAGGTATGTGAGGAGGATGTGGAGCCTGGTGGGGTGGGAATCAGGCCTAAGGGAACTGGTGAGTGGGAAAAGGCCCGCAGGGACCTGGTGTGTGGGGGAGGGGGGAAAGGCCTGCAGGGACCCGGGGGCAGGAGATAGATGGGGAGCACTGCAGTGTCCCTGCAGTCGGTCATAAGGGCATTCAACTGTAGGGGCATGGCAGCGGCCAAAACGTCAGGACCAGGTCATAAGTAGCTTTTGGGGGTCTGCCCTAACTTTGAATGGCTGTTAAGGAACTGGTCGTAAGTTGAGGACTACCTGTAATACCTCATGACATTTTAAGAGTGAAGGCTCTGTGTAATGAATATTATATTGCAACGTACAACACCTGGACTACCTTATTTTGGTTCAATTCAGATGGTATTATCATCTAAAGCCTAGGTGTTTAAACCAGCAGAAAGGCTTCCTTATAAAGTATGAGAAACTACAAAGAAGCTTTAATTTAATGAACACATTATGTACCTTCTTCCCCCTTTTCAAAAAGATGTCTGTATTGTTTGATGAGACTCATAATATATTTCATACTTTCAAAAATCCTTTACACACTTTTATTGTTTTTGCAATAATGTTTCCAAGCAATATTTTTCACAATTATGTCTCCCAGTGCAGATTTTACTGACTCCAACAAGGTTATACAAATCCTTCAAAAGAGTTGTGAATTATTAAAGCAGTTGTGACTTTTTCCAGGCTTGTGTAGCTGTTTTAGAGGCTGCTCCAATTGGCCTCTGCAATGTATGCACCAGGTACTGCAAGGTACCTGTTCTGAAGGATTTGCACTGCCCTAGACAGTAATATTCCAACCTTTTGACTAATTTGATTTCTCTGTTTGAACTTTATTCTTTTTTTCAAGATGGAGCAATCAGAGTAATAAAACAATATTCCACAGACATACAGTTTTATACATCTAAAAATATGTGGCAATAGGGCAGTTTTATTCTCAGCACTTTGTTTTTACAAACTTTAACATTATGGGAATTGAAGTCGAATATATTTGGAATTTGAATTTGAATTTTTGAATTTATTATATTTATACCCCGCCCTTCTCCCGGAGGACTCAGGGCGGCTTACAGCCAGTTTAAAACAGTTTGATACAAATACAAAATATAAAATTTAAGAGAATAATTAAAAATAAATATTTAAATAGGCCGCTTCTACTAAAATTTAGTTAAAACCAATTTAAAATACCCCTAGGCCAGTCCTGCCCGCTGAAACAACCAAGTCTTGAGGGCGCGGCGGAAGGAGGGTAGATCCGGAATCACCCGGATCTCTGGGGGCAGCTCGTTCCAGAGGGTGGGTGCTCCGACAGAGAAGGCTCTCCCCCTGGGGGTCGCCAGCCGGCACTGTCTGGTTGACGGCACCCTGAGGAGGGCCTCTCTGTGGGAGCGTATCGGCCGGTGGGAGGTAATCTGTGGCAGAAGGCGGTCTCGGAGGTAACCAGGTCCAA